TTCTTTTTTTTAGGTATTTTTTGAGACTATGGACATGAGAATTTGGTAATTAAAAATATATATACATATATAATTTTTTATTTTAACGAATATCATTATTAACTTTTTGTTTTCTTTTTTTTTAGCAGTTTCTTTGAGTCTTTCTAGAAATGATGTTGTGGAATACTGGTGAGTAAAAGAAAAATATTTTTATATCCTTTTTTATATTAATAAACATTACATTTTTTTTATTATAATGTTATCGAAACATTATATACTACAAATAAATCTGCAATTTCAGCATAGATCATATGACTTATCGATCTGATTTACTGATTGATAATCTTTTTTTAAAGTTTTTTTTTAATTGAATTATTTAAAAAATTTATAAATCATTTTTTTTTTAAATTGAATATTTTTTTAAAAAATTATTTTCTGAATTTATTTAAAAAGAAACTTTTTTTAACCTGAGTGATTTTTTATCAGTTTTTAAATCGAATAATTTTTAAAAAAAAAATTATATTTTTTTTCTTTGGACTCAGTTTTTAGCATGGAATGGTAAGTTGAGGAGTACAGTACATGTTTTTTTTATTATAGGAATGTTTAATACTAATGTTCCTTTTCATTTTTTCTTAGAGACGGCGAACTTCAGTCTGGAACTTTGGAATGGTAAATTGAGAGGGGGCTTGTGTCTTTTAAACAGTTACTTATTTCTTTTTTTCTCTTTTAGAGGGTTGTTTTTCAGCTTTTTAGACGTAAAATTTGGCGAGAATATTCTTTTGACGAAATATTTTAGATTTTGAGTCTTTTGGTAAGGTTAAATAATTTTTGTTTTTTATTTTGTTAATGAATTATTTCTAACAGTTCAATTTTTCTTTTGTAGACGGGCTTGTTTATTTGGATATTAGACATGTGAAAGTTGGTAATGGAAAATCACTTTTAATAATAATTTTTTTAACAAAACTTAATTAAAAGAATAAAACTAATAGCATTCTTAATTCTCTTCTGTAGATATTAACTTTAAACTTGGATATTGCTTGAGATCGGATATTTTGACATAAAATCAGGTACATATATTTAAAGAAATTTCTTTGATTTTGTTTTTATTCAAAGATATTAATAATGCTTTTTTTATTTTTTTTTTTATAGATATCCAGCTTTGGGCTTTAGATATGGAATCAATACTAAAATTTGACGCAACTAATGGGAATTGTAATAATAATTTTAAAATTAATAGAATTATACAGGTTTTAGTATTTAATTATTGAAGCTATTTTTATTTAATACTTTTGATTAATTAGCTTTAAAAAGAATATATAATAATGTATGGAACATAATAAATAGATGTATTAATAATAATAAATAAAATATAATAAATAAAATTAATAAATTAAATGATATAATAATAGACAAATATAAATAAAAAATACCTTAAGGATTCCTTATTGGCGAACTTAGGATCCTTAAGGATTCTATAAAAATTTTATGATAGGGAATCCTCGCTAGTGGTGAAGGTTCCTTAGGGATCTTTACTAATTACAGAATTTTTGGAATCCCTAAGGATCCACCCCAAAAAATTTACTGATGTACAAAATAAAAAAAAAGTTTATGCAAATTGAATTATTGGAGTAAAATAATTGTATTATAATATATATATAATATATAATAATTTATTTATTAAGAAGCTTTTTTGCAATTAACTTACTATATAGCAGTTCAATTTCAATAATTTTTTTTTTTGTAAAGCATAAAGAGGTCTACAAAACAAAAAAAAGTTTATGCAAATTGGATCATTAGATAGCAAACTAATTGTATTATAATATATATATTAATATAATATATTATATATTATATTGTATGTGTTTTTTTAGCCAATCAGAATTCAATTACATGGTGGGTAGGGGGGTCTCTAATTGAGCATAATCACGTGATTTCTGGCATGCTTCTTATTATACTAGATTTCTGAAATAAATTTTTCTGCACATATCTACAGAATTTTCATCTATCTATATTACTCTCACTCATACAAACTATATAAAAGATTATTTCCTGCAAGAAAACTTCTACGAGATTAAGTAATTTCGAATTTACAAGTATAAATTTGGAAGATTAGCAACTTGATGTAAAAAAAAATAATATTTCTGATTCACGATTCATTTTTACAACATTTCATTCCACCTTGTATTTAGGAAATTTGTTGCTTAGAGTGTTATAATAAAAATATGTTGATTTTTTTATTACTAGTATGATACTACGCCAAATTTTGTTGATGCTGAAAATCAGATGATAGGAAAGCCACAGCAATTTTACTGTGCTAATGAGGCACATGGATTTGATTAGATTAAATATGCATAATGATAGTCAAATATTTTCTCGGCAAAAATCAAAATATTGATATATAATAAGAGCAATATATCTATTTTATTATGAAACATCTATAATGGAAAATTGATTAAGATCGTAATGACATATTTCAAAAAGCTAGTCAAACAATAAACTAACCTATTTTATTATTTACTTTGCATAATATACAGGTTTATTTGATTTTTTCTTGATTCTTTCTTATATTTGTACAAGGCAGATAAATACTAACTAGAATATCATCTTTTTATACAATTTGCAGAATCGATCTTGGAACACACTTGTAGAAAAATTACGTATCGCAAAAATCTGATCAATGGCATCCCCTTAATTTAACAATAAAGAATTTAATGCTATCCATATATAAAGATTATCAAGGGCTATACATAATTTTGAGAATATGCAAGAAAGTTTGAAAATAAATTATTTTATTTGTGCAATTACTTATTCTCGTGATATATATATAACATTATCACGTGTTTATTTATCAAGCTACAATTTTAAAACTTGATCAAAAAAATAATAGCACATACATTGCTTCATACAATTTCATTATTTACTTCATGCAAAAAAATTATAAAACATCTGGTAAATTTGCATCATTGCTTTATTGATCAAATTACTTGAGAACATTTACATTGCTTATAAATTCCTTCTGCTACTTTTTTTACTTTTTTATACCTTTTGCAATGATTTAGTAGTTGAGTAATTAGGTAAACCGTATGTAGTATTATATACTACTTTTCCAATATTATACTTAGTAACTTACTCTTTTCCATCTATTCTTTTTTTATCTATTATATCAGTTCATGCATATACTCTTTAGCATAACAAAGATCTTTGCAATGAAAAAAAAAATAATTTATCAAAACTTCTCTCATATTACATCCTCTAAGTATCATGCAATTGATCATATATAAATAGTATTATCAAGAATTTATAACAAAAACTCTAATTCATTGCATGAAAATATGTGCCAGATGTCAATCAGTTAGTGATATCATATAATTTTGAAAAGTCATCATCATCCAAGAGATCCTTTTCATAATTTAAATATTTATTTTGTTAATAGTTTTAAAAGTTTGGATTTATTGTTAGATGCTTATAAATATAAATCTATCTGATTCTTCTTAAGATTGTAAGTTAAAACTTAAAAAGTAGTGTAAGATAATATTATTTTTTATTTTGAAAAGTAAAAAAAATATTTCAAATTTTTTAAAAAATAAGCTACTGTATCTCAAAAATTTGAATATAATAAATAAATCAAAATATATAAATTAAAATCAATTGATTTCCTATTATTTTATAATAATTTTAAATTTAATTATTTTTTTTTAAATTTTGCAGTGCATTTGTAATTTTATTAAAATAAAAATTAAATAAAATGATTATAAAAGTAAAGAACTATTTATACTACTCTAATATAATTAAATTATAAACTACTATTATATTAAATTATATCTCATATATATATATTTGTTTAATTCAATAGATAAATTTAATTATTTTTATTTTTATATAATATTTTATTAATCTTAATTATTAAAAATTAAATTAATATAATAAAATAATTATATTAGCAAAAGTTAATATTATTTTATTTTAAAATAATATTATATTACAATAATTTTACAATTATAAAAAATAAAATTATAAAAATTAAAAATTTTTTATAAATTAATTTATTTAACATTATAGTCTAAATATTTAGTAAATTATTAATCTGCATCTTTTTTCTTTTGGTTTAAAGGCATATTTGTGCCAGGTTTATTAATGCATCCTCATAATTGCACTGCAAGGGTAGTTGACCTATTTTCTGTATTTTTTATAGTCCTATATTGTATAAAGCAAAGTGTCATAATTAATAAACTTTAAATTTTTTTTTTTTTTTTAAAAAAAAAAAATTTCACAATTGTAGAATGTATAAAATATTAAAATTATATTTAGAAACTTGTAAAAATGTAAAAATTATATTTGAAAATTTATAGAAATATAGCAGAAATTTGTAAAAATATAGAAATTTTAGAAATTAATTTTAGTATTTTTACAAGTACTTTTTATGTATAATCTTATATATAATTTAATATAATTTTTACAATTTTATATATATTAAAATATTAAAAATTAATTTTAGCAAACAACTTTAATAAATTCAAATTATTAACTGATTTTCAAAAATAGCAAAATTTGAAGCTAAAAAGTTAATATATTTAAAATCAGAATTTAATAATAACTAAATATTGCATTATTATAAACCATTACTTTTCTTTAAATTGTTAATAATTATATACAAAATAATAATTTATATAAAAAAATTATAAAAAAAATATTATAATCAAGTTAGCCAACTGCCAATAATTGAAAATTATTTATATAATGCATCTAATAATTGAATTATAATACTGGAAGTTATATTAATTAAAAATCAATATATTCTATCCAATAATTACTATATTATACATATTAAGTAAATATATATTATATAAAATACAAAATAAAACACAAAAAAAGATAAAATAAAATAAAATAAAATACAAAAACAAAATAACAATAAATAATTTTAAAAGTTATTTCTATAATAGAAAATAAACTGTTAATTTACCAAAATAAAAAAAAAAATTAATAATAATAATTAGAAAAAAATGTTTTTGTTTTTCAAATTAAGCAAATCTATCAACCCATTTATGTCCTACTTCATAATCTATATTAGTATTAAATTCTCCAATCCTTTTTTCATCTTCAATAATAACTTTCTTATCATATGGTAGTGGATATGTAGAAGATTTCATTTTACCATTTAATCTATCTAAAGAATTTTCTGGTATAAGATTTTCATTATCATCTTCCTCTTCTAAATTACTTAATATTCCTCCAAATAACAATTCTTTTGGTAAATTTAAACCAATTCCATCTCCTGGCGTCCATGTAGCTCTATGAAATAATTTTACGGATTGTCTTGCTTTTGTTCTTAATTCTGCTCTTTTTTTCTCTTTTTTTGTTTCTTCATCTATCGTTTGTACTAAAGAATTGTTACTTTCGTTTTTTGATTTCTCTTTTTCTTTTCTTCTTTCTGCACGAAGACTAATAGAGTTATTTATACATTCAATATATGTTGTGTATTTAACGATTTCATACAATAACCATTTAGATTTCTTTTCCCAATTTGAAAATGCTTTTGTATAATTTGATGACTTTGGGTGAAACTATTAGCGCATTAAATTAACAAAAAGTTAATCATTAAACAAATACAAAATTTTTTTTTTAAAGAAAAACAAAAAAAATACATATATACCAGTTTCGTCATTGGTTCCCAAAAATTTTTGTGCTCTTCCAATTCCTTCTCAAGGTCGGTTTTATATTTTTTCAGGGCTGCCAATTGTGTCTCCTTTTTTTTAAAAGAAAAAAGAAAGACAAATAAGACAGATATAAAAGATAACTATTATACGAATATGTTTATAATACAAAAATGAAAAATGAACAATATACCTCATCAAAATTACTTGATACTGTGGGTGGTAACGGTGCTTTCCATTCACTAACAACAATTCGATCACTTGCATGCGTAGAATTACCACTCATTATACTACGACCATCACTCATAACACTTTTACCATCTTCCAAATCCTCTCCACCATCAAGAACAGATCCTAAACATCGTCCCCATCCATATTCCATACTGCTTACTCCGCCCGTTAAGGGTTCTTTGCTTTTACATGCCGCCCAATAGTTACATGTAACAACCCATTCATTTACGAGTTCAGCAGTTCCCGCTTGGAAAAAGTAAAGACCTCCATTTGGCATAGAAAGCGCAAATACATGAGGACGAGAACGATTATAACCGGGTGGTGGTAATGCATTTGTAATAGTATGACGAAGATTAACTTCACCCATTAAAATAGCACTTGACTATAAAATTAAATATCATTAATTTATAGAAATCGTAAAAATTAATTGAACTCAAAAACTCAAATTTTCGTACCATCCAATTTCCACCTCCAACAACGCCGGTGCTCATAGAACTATTGGAAGAATTAGTTTCAAATTTATACATTTTAATATCACCCTTCTCAACAATAACAAAACACTCCTTCCAACCCTTGTCCTTTGATCTCTTGCTGGTTGACTCCCAGTAATGTTTTCTGACCAATAATCCTTCTTTAGCGTAAGGTGCACCAGATAGATATAATTCCAAAGATTCAGTAGTCGAAACCGAATCTGCAATAGAAGCTCGGTCATCAGTATCATCATGTTCGTCAATCATTTCAGGTATCATAGAATTTGTTTCGGAAGACGATGCATGTCGTAATGAAAAGGATGATGTTGTTGTTGGGAGAGTTTGTGAACTACCCGATCGATTTAAGCTATCGAACTGAATCTTTTAAAAAGATAAAAATAACTGAAACGTTACAAAATGATTAATTAACAATATGATTCATTAACAAATAATTACTTACCCCGATGCTTGAATCACTACCTCCACTAACACTACTGGGGCTTGGAGAAATTCTTCCGTTAGCATTATTTTTACGACCCTTTACATTTCCTGCAGATAGACCTTTCTTGAGAGCATTTATTCTTGTATTTGGATGACCTGTAAGACTCATGCTACGATGTAAGCCTGGTGAAAGTGTATTTGATGGTTCAATAACAACTTTATCCGACGATAAGACCGGTTGTAAAATCTGATTTGATTTTATTGCTGAATACATTTCTTTTAAAAGACTTTCAATTTCCGAATTAAATTGACGTGACGCAAATGACAAGTTGGTTAAGCCAGAATTTGGATTACTACGCCAACTTTTTATACTTCCACTACGTCTAGGGCGCGCTGTAGCAGATGTCCCAGTTGTACTTGTCTCGACAGATGTTATCGTACTTTGATCGTCTTCATAAGATTCGTTGTTATTCTGTGCAATTATGGTAGCCTGAGCATGATATATAGTTGCCATTGTATTTCGTACGAACTGAGAACGTGACATTTTATTAGCCACTTGGGCAACATGAAGATCAGTGTTAAGCAGCAGGATAGAATATGCAACTGCATGAACTACGTCTATATAATTTGATATAATCAAATTAGAATCTTGTATTAAGAAGAAAATAACAAATTATGTTTAATATTAGCTTACCAGAGCTACCATAAATAGTTTTTGGATTGCATTCCCAGTATCGTATTGAAAAACCTTCTAATATACGATCTAATTGTTGTGTTTCAGCTTTAATATACAACTTTCCACATAATCGTCTATTAAATTAAATAGATAATTATTAAAATTTAAATGTACACTTGCATTCCTAACGTATAATATATAACTTTTTCTAAGAAAAAAAAATTTACCTAAAGGCTACATCTAGTCTTAAATTAGAAAAATCATAATAATCCATATAACATTTTAATGCTCTTGAATTTATTAATTCACTGTAACATAATAAAATAAATAAATTTTTAATAAAGAGAAAAATCAAACAAAGAATTTAACACCGAAAGTTAACAACTTACTGTCCACCTAAATACTTTGTAATATCCTCCTTCTTTATGAATGTTTCGTCTTCATGGAAACATTTTTTAGCAGCAATTCTCGCTTCCGCCCATAATATTTCATCCTCATTTTTTTTCGGAACCCGTGGTGGAAGATTTCCATCATCAAAGATATTGTTTATAGAACTTTCAGACAGAACAAAATCATCTACTTGTATTTTGGGAGTTCCATCGGTTACATCAGTTATTGGAGAAGGCGGAGCGGTATGAAGAGTCGTAGTTGAGTCACTAGCAGTTTCATAATAGGAGCTTGTAATGCTAGAAGCTTGTTGCATATGAGAGTGTACATAAGACTCAGATTTTGGGATAGATTTTGGTATATCCGGTAATTTTTTATCCGGTCTCTTGGGTATTGTACTTGGACTGAGACACGAATTCGTACCTGATGCGCTCTCCGGTCTATTTTGTTTCACTAACAACCCCTTTTGATCTACATTAGTCTTCAATGATCTTTTATCAAAATTAGTCGACTCTCTAAAAGAACTCTTAGAGCTGCTTTTGCTTACAATAACTTTTGTAGTATACTTCTTTCGACTTATAGATGTATCTTCGGAATCTTCTTCTTTAACTTTTTCCAAATTAGCAGCTGTCATAACGTCCATTACTTGTTTGGATTCAGCCTTCATCTTTTCACTCTTTATAATTGGCAAGCTCATAAATGTGTTACTACTGTCTCTTCTATCTGAATATTCTTGAAATGACTCCTCATTTGTTAAATGTATATTTTCGTTTTTATTATTTAAGGTTTGTTCATTCCATTCGTAGTTTCTTCCAATATTGTCGGGAACACTTTTATTTCCACCTAGTAAAGACATACGATATAATCCAGACTTTCTATGATTTTCATCATCAGCTTGTAAATTAGCATATACTGCAATAGTATTCTGCAGAAATTCATGGAGATCATTATTAGATTCACTATCTGTCGAGACGGTGTCGTCATTTGTGTTGAGATGGAGTTCATTTGAAATTGATATATCAATGGCATTTACTGTAGAAGAAGGCGCATTTTGAGGCCCTTCTGAAGATGGACTTTGTGAATGTGAATTAGAATCCTGAAAATCAGGAAGAGGCAGACGAGTACTCTGCTGTGATTGATTATCGGCATTTTGCTAAGTAATTATTAAATTATTGCGGAAAGTGTTTATTTAATAAAAATAATTATAATAAAATCGAATAAAAAATAACATATGTTCACCTTATTACCGAGTTTTTTGAAAAAGGTAGAAGTTTTGCGCATAGTATTTTTCATTGTATTCTAAATATTATAAGAAAAAAATTTAGGAATAAGAAAAATGCATGCTAAAATAATTCGTAATATGCATGGTTGGTTACTTTCTCAAATCTTTGTTTCCGCTTTTTCCCGATTACGTATATTTTTTTTTTTAAACAAAAAGTATAATATTACATCCTTCTTTTCCCAAAAAAAAAAACATTTTTTGATAAAAGCAAACCTATAATATGTTTACAAAAGATAAATGTATAGTAAAAAAATCCTATCTTACCTTGAATCCTTTATCGTCGTTTTTTTCGGTAGAAATTAAATTACCTTTTCTTTTTCCAGATTTTTTCGATTGACTGTTTAAAGCCTTTCCACCAACAATTTCGTTTCTAAAGTCGTATGAAACATTACTAGAGTGCTTTTGTTTCATTAATGCATCATATTCTGCTTCCAATTCATTATTTGGTGCAGTAAGATTAGGTACACTGATACTACCAATAACAGACTGTGATACACTGTGATCAGTCATAAAATAATTGTTATTTTCTGGTTTTATTCCTTCTGTTGTGTTCTTATTATTGTGTCCCAGTATATTTGCGGGAACCACTGGTTGTTGAGATATCGGATTACTTGAAGATGTATTATTTATACCATTAATAATATATTTCTTTTTAAACTGTGAAAAAAAAATTGGTATTAGAAATAGTTTGTGGGGAAGGAGTATTAGACATTTGTCAGGATATAATGACGTTTAAATTTTGGATTGTAAGAGTTTACCTTTCCACCCGTTGGAGAGGTTTCAATTTCATCGTCGGATTTAAATAATGAATGTTTTGGAGTTGACAACGAATATTTTGACATCGTGTTAATTGTTGATGCTTATGGGATGAGTACGTAAGAGTTAGTTAGTTAAAGAAGCCGAATATCCCACTTTTATCGACATACCTTTAATTTTCACTTCGCCGTTCAACACCGAAGCAGATAGCTATATTACAGGGAAGAACTACGCATAAGTAGTTGGATCTGGAATCCAGTTTATCAATAATCTTATAAAAGAGGTTTGAAAAGGTAGGTTACACTATAATCTGCAACTGTAGAAGATTAATTTTCTATATAAAGAAAAAATTTAAATTTTTTAAATTGTTTCCGAATTAATTACATTTGAAGATTACACAGGATCTGAAGACCGAAGTTTCTAATTCCGCAGATGAAAACATATGGTGATTGGCTGAGTCATTTTATGATTTTATTCGCTAAAAACAATACATACAGTTACACATCACATTCTTTATTACTTTTTCTCTTTTTCTGTTCCTTATAACATAGCAATCACTCATGTTATCCCTTTATCATGATAGCCATATTAAAAATTAAGTGTAGATCTTAATGCATGATTTTCAAATATATAATTCTGGCTGAAATTTTCTTAATTCTGGTCAAAATCGTAATTCCGGACTAAATTTAATTAATGCAATATTGCATAATATTTTTAAAAACCTAATAAACATTTTAATAAATTTTAAAAGTCAAAATATTCAGTAAATTCAACTTGGATCTTATTTCAAAAACCACCCATTTTATAGGATCCTGAATAATACTAATATACTGTAGTTCACAAATAAACTTTAAATACCAAAGTAAAAATACATTTTATGATATAACTCTATCAATATTAAAGATAGAAATATGATGTTACTATCATTAAAATCCTCTTATTAGAATGAATTCAATGGTATAAATTTTATTAAAATCAAATCACTGATTATGTTAAAAATAGAAGTATGTAGAATAACAAATTTTAAAATACCTGTAATACACAATTTTTGAAAATTTTAATATAAACTTTAAGCAAACTCAAATATGAGTTGTATTAGTATTGTTCAGAATCCTATTTTTACTAATAAAAAATTATTAAAAGTAGAATATCTTGCCATTTAATAATAATAAAAAAATGAATTATAGTTTATTAGAATTATCTTAATATGAATTTGTAATTTTGAGTCAGCATGTAATTTTAATAGGAGTTATAAGATCCTAAAAAATTCATATCTGATATATAACTCAAATTTAAATTCAAATTTTATTATAATTTATATATCTAATTTTATTAGAAACTTTATCTAAAACTATCATATACTGTAAGTTCAAATTTTATTATCCCTTAAATAATAAAAAAATTGTGTGCAAATTTGCATACAACTTTCAACATTGTTTAATTAATTATATACGTGAAATTGCAATAATTAACTTAAAATTTTTTGTAAAAATTAGCAAAATTTATGAAATTTTACAGAATTAATCATATCATGTTTCTCATCTATCATATATCCTAAAAGTCTGAAAAAATTCACGCACTTTGCTAAGAAAATTTTTTATTGATACATACAAAAATAAATACAAAGCTTGGGGCTGTGCCTATAATACATGATGTCTATGCTATGTTTGTGGACTAATATACATAATTATTTTTCGAACGACTATTTGAGAAACGAGAAGAATAATTCGCTATACTAAGCTACTCTTAAAAATCACTTTCAGAATGCTGATCAATTTACATTTCTTTATTTATCCTGACGCACATAAATAATACTTTACTAATTTTGACATGCTTTATTGCATTACAAAGTGAAAATAAAACTTTTTTTTAAATCTTAATAATGTAATTAATTATATTATTATACAAGCTATTATATTTTTCCTTTCGTTATCCAACCTGAAGTCCATACAAATTCAAAATTAGTCACAAATGCATTACACAGTTTTGATCTTTCTCAGCCAATCATTATTTACAAACCACTAAAAGTTTAATCTTTATTAAAATTGTATTATAGACAAACAAAAAAAAAATAAGAAATAAATCTGTTACAAACAGTTACCTTACTAAACATTTCTTTTGTCTGATTAAGAGTAACTGTAGCATTTGGTCATTTCTTCAGATCACTCTTATACAAATTCACACTAAAGCTTGAAAGATCTGAAGAAATACTACTAATATTACATGAAGCAACTAAATGCCCAATACCCCAAATATCAACCTTAAAATTATGTTTTCTTATTAGCATTTCATGAGCATAATCATTTTTAGAAAATTCTTTCAAAAGCTCTGATGAAGGGGAAAAAGTAGTATAGTCAAAATCAATTAAAATGAATCTCTGGTATTTATCGTAATGACGAATAATATTTGGCCATTGAATATCTCTGTGCATTATCAGGTTGGGATCAATTGAATGCATGCTCTGAATATCACATGAAATCTATAAATATAATATCTACGTAATAATAACAATGCATCTATACTAAACTTTACCTTCAAACAAGTTAGTATACAAATTAATGCTTGCAGTAACTCCTTGAGATTACTTGGTTCTTGTTGTTCTCTGTGCAGTACCAAATGAACTGAATGCTTAGATGAATATTCCAATCTATCAGAAAATCTAACATTATTCGCCTATATAAACGTTAGAATATACCTTTTTAAAAAAAAACTGAAATTTTCGATCTTACCTGCAACATTCCATAAATTTCTTTTAGGTAAGTAACTTGTCCTTCGTTTGTAAATTTTTTCGTAATCGCATATCTAAGTTCAACAACAGTTCTATTTGATCGAATTATTGTCTCGAAGTCTGGAAAATCTCTTGGAAGGCATAAATTCACTATAATAGGTAATACATGGCCTAAACAACAATAATACAAATTAGAATTTCATAAGAAAAATTTAAAGCTCAAAAAAAGTACTAACAGATATTTCGAAGGAAATTCATAATGCGAATTCTATCAGATAAATGTCCTAAATCAAATTCTGCAATCCGCTCAGAATAAACACTCTGTTTTCTCTTATTACTCAAATTATTTATAGGCTTATGCAATGTAACAAATGTAACAAGAACTCCAACGGCATAGTATGCGAAGAGGTATAGAGCATTTCCATAATTTCAACCTTGGAATTTTTTGGTTAATTCTTTCGAAAGATCTTCTGCATCTTCCTGGGACTTTTCTTCACCTTGAAAAGGACAAATATTTCTCACTATTACAACCATATCTGGGCGATTGTGATCTATGAACCTTTTTGTTAATATATTCTATATTGCCTCAACCACTGCTATTTAATTAGCTTTACCTGTTGTGGTTCGTTTGCTAGTATTACGATCAAATTCCAATGTTGGCAAACTAGTATTATGCTTTCCAAATATCTTCATTGTATTTTTAATAATACTATCCCACAGATCATGATATGAGTTTTCATTCTTTCCATATGAGGGAGGGAAAATCAACTGTCCTAAAAGTTTTGAAAAAAGTGATGTACATTCCTCTTCTGCATTTTGTATAAAATATATATCTCGTTCTTCATCAGTTATGCCATCCAGATCTCCAGTTTTAAATTGAAAAAAATGAATAGGGGCAAGCGGTATTTTTACAGGAGGATTTTCGTTAAGAAAGTTTGCTAAATCAGATCTGTTAGGAAGTTGGCCAGGACTCTGAACTAATTGTTTTATTACTTCAGCAGTTATATCTAGGATAATGAAATATTGTAAGAATGTTAGAATAATAACAATGTAAGAAACAAAAAAATTAGAAAATTACTTTTTGGAATACTTGGAACTGTAAAATAAGTTATACAAAATTAGTATTGGTAAGTTGTGACACAGAAAAGATTAAAATGAAAAATCAGGCAAGAACACGTTCACTCACGTTGACTAATTTATTACGATTCACTTACCAGCAACGGGTTGACCTGCGATAACACAAATGTATTTTTGGACAGATTTGACGATAAGAAACAGGAAAGAAAAGCACAAGAATAAGTAAGTATTTGGTATTGTTAGCGAATATGACAGAGGAGACGAAAAAAATTGTTATATCGCGTTGACTAAAAATTATTGACTTACTGGTGGCAACAGGAACTCTAACAACAACTCGAATGTTATTATCTTGAACTCCATAGAATGTGTTGCCAACTTTTTGCGTTGCGATTTTTATTTCATTTTCAACAGTCATTAAACCATCAGGGGTGTTACTCTCCAACTGACTTTCTTCAACATTAACACTCCATAAACTAAGGTTTTTAGCTTTTACGTTATTAGGTACACTAATTTTCTTGAAGATAGCTTTTTTTAGATCAAAAATAGAATTATTGTTTCCAATGGTAATGGAGAAGGAACTACTTCTGTATTCAAGACACCAAAGGGTAATAGGCGTACTATCAATAGACATTTTTACTGTTATTTTGTATCACAACGATAAATGAGAAAAGAAAAGAATTTTTTTTGCAGAATTGGGTAACAAGTTAGTTTTATAGAGGGATCACAGATCTGATCAGTGATGCAATCAATTTTAATATGAACGCAGTAATCGGAATTCAGTCATATGATTTTTATTTTGTGACATTAAATGTCACAGCTACGTAATCAGTTTATGCGAAAGAGCGTGATAAGCTTGTCACAGTAAAGTTACAGGCTACTAATTATTTGAAACATTACTCTGCAACAAAATTACATAATCACTATACTACAATTGCGAACTTGAGTTTATTGCTTGAAGTATTGCAAGCAAGACAATATTCCAACTTATCTTGGGAATACAATTTCGCTAATTCAGGATCATAAGAGAACTGATTCCCATTTTCGCAGTACCATGAGCCATATAATCCATAATTCCCATGTTTTCCATCGCAAATAGGGCATGGTGAGCTTCACAGCTGAGGTGATGTAAAATCATAATTATCAATCCCTCTAAAACTATTTCAGAATTTCAGGTATATGAAATGCTTTAAGAAGACTTGATAATTAATTCTAGATCAGATCTGGCTTCGAAAGTGATGGGCCCTTTTTCTTGATATTGCTCACCAGAGGAGGGAAAAGATAAATCGGATACTTTGTTTTCTGGAGAATTTATGACTTCTGATTCATGTACTTTTGATAATTGCCATGGCTTATGCCCAGTTTCTTTTTTATATTTTTGTATAAGCTGAACCAAATCTTATTCGTCAAAACACTTGGCAAACCAGTTAATTTGACATGCTAATCCAGATATTCAGGAGTTAATATTTTATCGGACTTGGCCATATTGCCTTTTTTTATAATTGCAAATCAATCTAATTAGGTAATAGTTGACAAGTGTAAAAAAATAATAATAAAGCAAATGTAGTCACAAAGTGACCTGACTATGCAACTATTTCAATTTCATGCTGTTCACATTTAATAAAATAAGATTCAGCTTTATATGTACCCTCTATGCTTTCCTCATCATCATACTTTAACTTGCATAATGGGTATGATGTCTCATCAGTAATACCATAATAATTAAAATTTTCACTACTAAATTCTCTATATAAATTTGGATATTGATCTAATGTCTTGTTGTAAAAATTGGATCGGTCAAAAACAAGCGATTTGCTCATATTTCTGAATCATATTTATTTTTTATCTGTACTAGGATTCACCTATTAATTACATTAACAGTTAATATTTAAATATATCTATATTAAATTATAATAAAAAATTTTTATTGAAAAATTTCTGGATAAACAACATTATAAGTATAATTGATTAAATTTGCATTATCTCCTAATTGTTTAATAATAAGAATTTTTAAATTTTTTCTTGATGTTTTTCTTGAACATGCAACATATAATTGCCTATGAGAAAATACAGGAGTTGAAAGATACAAACCAACCCAATTTAATGATTGTCCTTGAGATTTATTAATAGTCATTGCAAATGCTGGTTGTACTGGAAATTGACGATGTTTAAGAGTAAAAGGAAAATTAATATTTGAAGGTGATAAAGTAATACGTGGAATAAAAGTGTATAATCCAGCATATTTTTTAGTAATAATTTCTGCTTCAATAACATGCTTTTGAAAAGAATGACAAATTAATCTAGTTTTATTACAAAGACTATCAGATGGATTAATATAATTGGAGATACTATTTTTAATGATAATTTATGAGGAGAAAGTTCTCCAATAGTTAAAGAATTAAGAAATTCTATTGGATACTGATGTTCTGGATTTGTTTGTTTTTCAATTATATCAGCACTATAATATTCAACTGCTTCTCCAGGAAACTGATTCATAATAATAGTATTAACATTATTAACATCAACATTTTTGGAGTAAGTATAGCACGTTCAACCAAATATTGAGGATTAAAATGAGTTGTAAAATTAGAATAAATAAAATTAATAAGATCATTAATATTTTGTGATGGTAAAATAATATTATTAAGAAGTCAAATAATATTATTTTCTAATTCTCTAATAGTAGGAATACGTCCTTCTTCAACTTTAAGTAACCATTCAGCAAATTCCTTTTATTCAGCAGCATCAGGTTGATTTTCTGTACGAAATAAACACATATTAATCTTCAATGTTATTAATTTTACATAAGTCCATAAAGTTGATCTTCGTAAGCAAGATTCTACAATATCTTCACGATTTTTTTTTATTACTACTGGAAGTATTTGACAAAAATCATCTCCAAATACTATAACTTTACCTCCAAATAGTTTTTCTTCTAATAATGGATCTATAGCTTTCATAAGATCTTTTAATGTTCTATCAACAGCTTTAAATGCATATCTAAGTGTCATTGAAGCTTTATCCCATATAATTAAGGTTGCTTGCCGAAACCTAGGGGTTTAGGCAAGATGGCGTTTCACCGAAAAGTGAAATTCTGCCGAAACTATATTAAAGTTATATTAAAAACTGGTAAAACTTTGGAGAAAGGTGAAACTGCTGAAACTTATTATAAATGCTGAAACTGCCGAAACTCTGCCAAAACTATAATAAATCTATAGTAAAATTTTGATGAAACTAATCGTAGGATTTTGAAGAGGTTTAGACAAGCAACCTTACATATAATAAATTTTGCAATTTGTAAAAGTGAAGCTAAATCTGAATTATGTTTTATAGAACAGGTAGAATCTTCATAAATATTAATAGGAATTTTAAAACAGAAATGAGCTATTTGACCACCTGGTAAAAGAAGTGTAGCAATACCTGAAGAAGCTACAGCAAGAGCAATATCTCTATTTGAACGAACTTTTCCAAGTAAAGTACTATATTATATTATTATTAGTATATATATATATATTGTATTAGTTATTAATAATTAGTAAATTAAAATAAAAAAATACTTACTTATATAAAAAGGTCTTTCCAGTTCCACCTGGACCATTCACAAAAAAAATATCAGAAGTATTATTTTCTACAGTTGTAATAATTTTTTTAAATGCAGCTTACTGATCTATATTTAAACGGAAAAAATTATCTTCAATAGATTTTGCAAGCTCTTCAATTTCATATTGTTATTCTTCTCTAATTAAACAATTAGTATTTTGTTCATTATTAGAAGAAATAATTGGAATAGGCATATTTGGAAATTCACTAAGATTTCTTCCATATTTACTTAAAATAGATTGCAAATGATAAAGAGCTCTATTACGTATATTATCTGTAAGTTCTAAAGTCATATTTCCAGTATTTTAACAAACTTGAAAAAAAATATCATCACTAAGAGTAGAAATATGTGTTTTCCAAAGTACTTCAGGTCTTGTTACTTCACAAAATAAAAGTAAAATAACAAATAATTTACGTAATTGTATTCCAGTTTGTACTTGTTTAGCTTCCTTTAAACATTGATCCCATTCTTCATCATTTTGCAATAAGCCTAAAGCAATACATACTTCTTTAAAAGAAGGATAAATAATTCCATTTACTGTACGAAGATTTTCAAAAGAAGTAGCACCACAAATAATATTAAGTAACATTCTTAAATAATATTGTTTACTTGCTGCAGGATGAACAAAATTCATCTGACCAATAGAATCACCTCTTTGTCTTGATTTCCAAATTTTAGTTTGATTATTATAAATCCATTGAATAGGAAAATCTGCATATGTAGTTTGTTTTGCATTTGGATATTTAGTATTAGCATCAAATCATGCAGTAAAAGTAGATTTTTCTATAGTAGAATGTTTAATTATATCTTTTAACTATTTATTATCTTGAAATAATACTCTATATTGACCTGGAAGATGAACACATAATTGTATAACATCAGGTTTTTCATTATGTAAACGATAATGAAATATTCTCCATGAAGCTTCTGATGCTGAAATATAGCAAGCATCAAGATATAAATTTATTTCATCATTTACAATTTCTACAGTAGCACAATCATGACCTTTGTATACATATTTAAAAAGATATTTTATAGCAGTAATTGATGAATAAATTTCCACATTAATATGACAATTATATTTAATTGTAAAATAAGGACATCGGAAAATTTTTTAAGATGCAGAACTGCAGAGATCTGTAAAATTAGCAGATCTCCGCATTTTTTTTTGTGAATTTATGCGGAAGTCTGCGATTTTGCAGATTTCTGCTTTTTATTTTTTACAAAATTATGCAATAATCTGTAATTTTGCAAGTTTCTGATTTTTTATGTATGTATTTCTGCGGTAATCTGCGATTTTGCAGATTTCCGCTTTTATTTTTTACAAAATTATGCAATAATCTGCAATTTTGCAAGTTTCCAATTTTTTATGTATGTATTTCTGCGGTAATCTGCGATTTTGCAGATTTCCGCTTTTATAACCACTATATTAC